AGGTGGGAGAACTACTTGAGCCTAGGAGTTCGAGACCAGCCTGAGCAACATAGCAAGGCCTTGTCTCTACAAAAAAATCAAAAAACAAACCAGCGTGGTAACATGTGCCTGTAGTCCCCAACTACTCAGGAGGCCAAGGAGGGTGTACTGCCTGAGCCCAGGAGGTTGAGGCTGTGATGAGCTGTGATCTTGCCACTGCATTCCAGTCTGGATGACAGAGTGAGACCCTGGCTCAAAAAAACAACCAACCAACCTATCAACCAACAAACAAAACCACGAGAATGTGACTGTCACCAGAAACCCCTTCCTCCATATCATTTTCATTCATCTCTTCCTGAATGTACCTGCTCTTGACCCCTCTCCCTGAGTTTCAACTGCTTGTACTTTTCAACTGCTCTGAGGATCCTCTTATATGATCATGGAACATGTGTGCAGGCATTTCTCCAAATCTCTGACTATGGTAGGAAAGTGCCATATACCAACAACAGCCAACAGTTTCCCTTAATGGATGTAACAACTTACACTTCAACTTCAGTTCACAAGAACTCAATTGTTCCATATCTTAATTGATTGGGTTTCATTTTGTCTATCTAATGTAGTTTTAGTTTGCACTTCCCTAATTTCTGAAGTTCTTGAGCATGTTTCACATGATTAATGAGTACTTAAGAAATCTCCTATGTGAAGGAGCTGTACAAGTTTCTTGCCTACTTTTCTACTGGTTTTTCTCTCACTTTTTTTTAGAAAGCAGGATTTATTGAGAGGACAGAAAAGTTCCCACAGTGGGAAGGGACTCAAGGGGATTGCCCTCTACTGGTTTCCCTATTATTTCTTTTTTATTTTTAAAATGTGGGGTACAATTCAGGATTAGGTAGAGAAGCGGTCATTGAACAGGTAAAGTCTGGGCCTCCCTTTGGTCCCCGCTTCACCTCGTTTGAGATCAGGTAGCCTTATTGATGTTATGTACCCGCCCCCTCCCTCCCCTGGCAGTGTCCTGCTACTGCTAAACACTTTCTTATAATGTTATGATAAATGTTCAGGGTCCACTTACAAGTGAGAACATGTGGTATTCAGTTTTTTGTTTCTGTGATATATCATTGAGTATGATAGACTCTAAATCCATTCAAATTGCTATGAAGTCCATAATCTTGTCCTTTGTGGCTGCATAATATTCCTTCATGTATATGCACCATATTTTTTTTATCCAGTCCGGTATCAATGGGCAACATGGTTGGTTCCATGTTTTTGCTACTGTAAATAATGCTACAATACACATGTGTGTGCAGGTATCTTTTTTATAGAATGATTTGAGTTCCTCCAAGTATATTCCCAGAAGGAGAACTGCTGGGTCATATGGAAGGTCGATTTTTAGATCTTTTAGGAATCATCGCACTGTTTTCCACAGAGGCTGTATGAGTTTACCCTCCCACCAACAGTGTAGAAACATTCCCTTTTCCCTGCATCCTCTCCAGCACCTGTTGTTTTTGAGTTATTGATGATGGCCATCCTGACTGGAATTAGGCGATATCTCAGTGTGGTTTTACTTGTAATTCTTTGACAATTAGCAAGGCTGAGCATTTTTTCATGTATCTGTTGGCTGCTTATATGTCTTCTTTCAAGAAGTGTATGTTCATATCCCTTGCCCACTTTTTAATAGGGCTGTTTTTTTTCCTTTCGGCATGTTTGAGTTCCTTGTAGATCCTGAATGCTAGACCTCTGTCAGATATACAGTTGGCAAATATTTTTTTCCCATTCTGTGAGCTTTCTCCCTGCTCTCTTGATGGTTTATTTTGCTTTGCAGAAGCTTTTCAGTTTGATGAGGTCCCACTTGTCTATCTTATCTTTTATGGCATTCGCCTTTGGGGATTTGATCAATAATTGGTTGCCTATTCCAATGTGCAGAATATTTACTGCATTTTCTTCTAGAATTCTTATAATTTGAGATTCTACATTTAGGTTGTTGATCCATCTAGAGTTGGTTTTTGTGTATGGTGATAGGTAGGGGTCCTATTTCAATTTTCTGCATGTGGTTAGCCAGTTTTCCCAGCACCATTTACTGAATAAGTTCTCCTCTCCCCAGTGTATGTTAATGAAGGTTTTGTCGAATATGAGTTGGTTAAGATAATGAGGTTTTGCTTCCAGAATCTCTATCCTGTTTCACTGGTCTGTATGCCTGTTCTTGTAACAGTACTAGGCTGTTTTGATTACTGTAGCCTCATAGTAAAATTTAAAGTCTGGACGTGTGATATCTCCCATTTTGTTTATTTTGCAAAGAATTGTTTTGTCTATTTGTGGTCTTTATGTTTCCATATGAACTTCTGTATTGTCGTTTCTAGGTCTGAGAAGAATGATGTTGGTAAATGGACAGAAATTGGAAGCATTTCCCCTGATAACTGGAAAAAGACAAGACTGCCCATTCTCACCCCTCCTGTTGAACACAGTGTTGGAAGCCCTAGCTAGAGCAATCAGAAAAGAGAAGGAAAACAAGGAAAGAGCAAGTTAAGCATCCCTCTTTACTGATGACAAGTTCATATACCTTGAAAACCCAATAATATCTGTCAAAAACCCACTTGCACTGATAAAGGACTTTGGCAAAGTCTCAGGACACAAATGTGCAAAAGGCATTCTTATACACCAACAACAAACAAGCAGTGAACCAAATACAAAACACAATTCGATTCACAACAGCCACAAAAAACAAACAAACAACCTAACCAGAGAAGTGAAAGACCTCCACAACAAAAACTACAAAACACTGCTCAAAGGAATCCAAGACACAAACAAATAGAAAAATATTCCATGCTCATGGGTTGGAAGACTTGACATTGTTACGATGTCCATCCTACCCAAGGCAAGCTACAGATTCAATGCAATACCCATTAAATTACCAACATCATTCTTTTCTATTATTTCTTATTCAAAGTGGTTAGTTATATGTGAGGCAATCATTTCCCCCCACTTTTTTGCTTCCTTTTGCACTCTTTAATGGTTGATAAATGGAATTTTAAATTGAATATGGACATATAACTTTTAAAAAATTATCTTTCATAACTTAAAAAAATAATTTTTCCTATAAAACATCTTAATGTTGCTGGGTACGGAAGCTCATGCCTGTAATTCCAGCACTTTGGAAGGTGAAGGCGAGAGGACTGCCTGAATCCATGAGTTAGAGGCCAGGCTGGGCAACTTGGAAGACCCTGTCTCTACAATAAATCAAAAAATTAGCTGGGCTTGGTGGTATGTGCCTGCAGTTCCAGCTACTTGGAAGGCTGAGGAGGAAGGACCATCTGAGCCCAGTAGGTCAAGGTTGCAGTGGCCATGAGTGTGCCACTGCACTCCATCCTGGATGATAGAGTAAGACTCCGACTCAAAAACAAACAAACAAAAAACTTCTTAATATGTTTAATAATTTGATTTTATATGTAGGTATTTATTACTCAAAATGATTTATTGTGTGGGGTGAGAAAAAAGAAACCATATCATTTTGGGTTCTGGCATGCATACACCCTGGTCCCAGCAGCATTCATTGGAAAGGGTCTTTCTACTTCTGTGCAATTCAATTTCTGTCATTTATATGCCTAAAAAAGTCTTTTTAAGGGTTCTCTCGTTAGCTCAGAGTCAGGTCTACAGTATCTGATTACTGTATCTTTATAACACACACACACATACACACTCGCACACACGTGTACATATATACATACACATATACAGTTACACAATCTATAATTTTTAACCAAATTTCAATTGCATTGGCTTTTTAAAATAATTATATTTGGCACTGCCAATCATCTCTATGTTATGTTGAATTTCAGTATTTTAAAATTTTATTTTTTGCTTATATATTTTTCTTCCCCTTGCTGTTTTATAAAATTTGCCTCTTTATTCAGATTGATAATTAGCTAATGCATTCTTTGTTCTCTTTTTTATTTTATCCATTTAAGATTGTATGTTTTAATACTATAAGAAAGGGATTGAGAGTAGAGGGATACTGCCGGGGTGGAGGTGGAGGTAGGGACACAATATCAAATAGCATACCTGATCTCAAACCAGGCAAAGTGGGGACCATAGGGAGGCCCAAACCTTACCTGTATGATGAACACTTGTATACCAAATCCTGAATTGTACCCCACATCTTTAAAATTAAAAAAAAATTAAAAATAAACTACAAAAAAAGATGGTATGTTTTGTTTTAAACTTATGGTACAATTTTTAACAGCTTTATTGAGCTATAACTGACATGAAATAGACTTCAAGTTTAAGAAATATGGTTTTATGTTTGGACATATGTACACGCCCATGAAACCATCACTACAATGAACATAATAAATGCATCCATTACCCCAAAATGTTTTCTCATGCCCTTTTATAATCCCTTCTTTCTGACTATACCCACTTCCATTTAATAAACCTGATTTTTTAAAAAAGACACAAGACAAAATCTCAGGTACTCGGCTGAGGTGGGAGGATCACTTGAGCCCAGGAGGTCGCGGTTGCAGTGAACTGCGATCACGCCACTGCACTCCAGCCTGGGCGACAAATAAATACATAAATAAATAAAATAAGAATTTTAAAAGCGAATTATTCATATCATCGACTCCTTTGCTTATAGTCGATTTCCGATTCATCCCTCCACGTCCAGGGCGTCAACCCAAGATTTAATCAAGACCTGGAATTCCTCCTCGCAGTCACGTGGATGGAGAGCAGTCCCATCCGTCAGGTTCTGTCCACAGATAGCAGCACGAATTTCCCAGAAATAAACAAATTTCTTCCCAAGACCGCAGAGGCTCTTGGGAAATGCAGTCGCCCTCCCATTACGACACCAGCACAGGACCACTAGAACACTTTTTTTCCGGTCCCTTCTGCGCATGTGTAGCTCCGCCGGCTTTCGTCATCTTTGTTTTGGAAGCTTCGTGTTTGCCAACTGCTCCGAAGTTCTGACCCTGTATTCTGCGTTCCTGAAGGTTGGAGCGAGGGTGAAAGAGGAACCCGCGAGTTTCGGGAGGCCCGGGGGGAGAGGACGGGGCCTCTGACGTGGTGGGAGCAGAATCGTGGGCAGACTTGACGCGAGAGGGCCTGACATGCAAGTTGCCAGCCGCGAACCTGGACCCGGGCTGGGGAAGGGGCGACTCAGGCTGTGCTGCCCACGGTCGCTTCGTCGGACGCGACGCTGTCAGGACGACTGGCGTGGGCTTCCAGGGCACAGCAGCTGGTGAGCCCAAGATGGAGCCGAGACCGGGGCGGTGGGGTCTGCAGACAGGGCGAGCCTGGGATGCCTGGATGTGAGGTCACGTCTCCGCTCGGCCGCTGGAGCCCTCGGCACTCCCTTACACGCCTTTCTGGGCACCCATATGTTAGATGAGCGCACAAGTAAGACCCGTGAAGTGACCCAGAGTCCCAGATAAGCAATGGTAATGTGTGTATAGACCTAGTCTCCCTGTGTGGCGGTGTATTTGTGGGGTTCCTTGGTGTCTGTTCAGCAAGCGAAGTTCCTGGTCCCCTTCCGCACTGCCTAGCCTGCCTAGCACTGCTGGGCCGAGTTTACTGAAGTTTTTTCGAGGCTCGTGTTTAGCGACAGTGATTTCTACGGGAGAGTTTGGGGTCCTGTTTACTTTGGAATCCAGTGGGTGTTACAGAGTAGCTGAAGGAGGGCGCCCTGTGATTAGGAATCCCACATGAAAGAACACCCCTGTGGCCTGAACCCTCTCAACAGCGCTTCAGAGCAGAGGGAAGAGAACGACTGGATGCTACTGGAAAGGTGGGAACAACTCTCAGGAGGGAGAGGCCAGTTGGGCTGAGAAGGATCCTCAATGACCTAGGAAATGTTTCTTCTTGAAGGTGTGGTCTGGGGGTAGGGACACCCTGTCACCTGAAGAGGATTTATCTACTGTGCTCTGTAAATTCACTCCCTTTCCTTCAGTTTTTTCTCATCGGTTCTTTCCAGAATCAGCTCTCTCAAACTTAGTCTCTCACCAAATTTCGTATCTAGAGATAATGCTCCCTCCATTCAGAGGTTCGTTTTGGTAATTGAGGAAAGATTTGTCTAGGTATTGTTGCTTTTGAAAAAGGTTGAAAAGAATTGGATTTGAAGAGATAAGTGATTTGCCAAGGTTTACGTTACAAGGTTTACCATAGATGTCAGGTATCCTGACTTTTTGACTAGTATTGTTCATTTTGCCACAGTTAACTCAAAACAAAGTGTTTATGTCTAAGATTCCTTTTGTGACACTGAATCCAACTTAGAACCAGTAATGCTTTAAAATGCCTCGTCTTAAGCCTATCCATTTGTATTACCAAAGCTTTCCATAACTTATGTGACCTCAAAGGGTTTATAATATGAATGTTTTTCACTTAATATCAGTAATCTCTAAACATCATAAATTCTGCAGGAAAATAAGAGAAGCCTATTTTACATTATTTTAAGTTGGCATATCAGCAGCACACTTCTACAATCCAATAAAACGTAAATAAAATACAAAACATTTTCCACATAGAATTAAGAGACTCATGAGGTTTTAAAAAAAACTTTCAACATTGTCTAAATATCCGGACAATTGTTGTTTTGTTTGGTTCATATGTCTTCAACCATGCTGAAGTCCATATACTTGACTTTTATTTTGCTTTTTCAAAACATCTACATACTTTTGCATATAAAAATTTTTTTTTTAATTTTACACTTTTCATTTTTTATATTTAGAGACAGGGTCTTCCTTTGTTGCCCAGACTGGGCTGCAGTGGCGTGATGATAGCTCACTGCAGCCTCGACCTCCTAGGTTCAAGTAATCCATCCACTGCAGCCTCCTTGAGTAACTGAGACTGCAAGTGTGTGCCAGCTTGAAGTTTTAATAGTTGTTTTGTCATGTATCTGAAGACTGTTAATTCCAATCCCTAATTTTTAACAGCATTGAGATTCCCATAGGCTTAGATGTAATGTGTAGCCTTTCCTTTGTTGTATATCAACAAAAATTTATAGGCTCAAAAAAGTACCCTTTAATTTGATGGTCTTCCTATGAATTAGTATTTGCGCCGGGCTCAGTTGAGAAATTCCTTTGATGGTGTTATTTTAGGACCACAAATGAGGTGTTAATCACCTGTTTTGAGTGAGGCTGGTTGATTTAAGATGGTTTCACTTACATGTCTTGGTGGTTCATGCTGGCTCCTGATTAGGCTCTGTGTCTCCAATAGTTCTTTACAGTATGACTATGTCCATGAGGCAAGCAACAGCGGACAAGTACCTTTTAGCCTATGTTTCTATCACATTTACTAATGTGCTCTTTATCAAAGCAAGTCAAATGGTAAAGCTCATATTATTTTTCTAGGGGACTGTGTGGGGGTTGGATATATGGAGGCAAGTCATTTGACATTGTTACTGGAATTGTGTACCAGTATACATGATGTACATTTTCCCCCTATATAATTATAGGAGGGAAATGTTGGATAGTAACATGCATACTTTCCATGAAATTGAGCTGTGTAAAAGGAAGAGCTTGTAATGTGGAACACACATGGAGTCTTTTCATACTAATAGGAGAATAATTCATATAGCCCAAATGTACTTCCATAACACAAATCTTAGTTAATAAGACATAATGTTTGCTTTTTTTATTTAAATTTCTGTGAAGAGCATTAATTGCTTCTAAGTCAGTTGGTAATATATATTTTTATTAACCCAATGGCAAATTATATGTCTGCTCTCTACTCATTAATGTAGTTGTGGCTTTATCTTCATTGGGGTCTTTGTTGCCCTTTCTTGCATAAGGGACTTTTCTTCTACAGAGAGGTGTTTATGTTTTTGGTCTTTTCCAGCTAAAGTGTATTTTGAGCAGGAGAAACCAGGACCATGCCAAACGAGCTCTCTCAGAATTCCACGCCTTCTACCTTCTGCCCTCTTTCTCAACTATGCTTCCAGAGTTCTCTATGTGTCTTCAAGGGAAAATTAATGAGTCTCTGGTGAGTTGTTAATTTTTTTGACTAGACTCAGTGGCTCATATGTTTTATTCCAGCACTTTGGGAGGCCGAGGCAAGAGGATTGCCTGAGCCCAGAAGTCTTAAGAGCAGGCTGGGCAACATGGTGATACTATGTCTGTGTCTCTACAATAAATAAAAATAAATTAGCCAGGTGTGGTGGCACATGCCTGTAGTCCCAGCTACTTGGGAGGCTAAGGCAGAAAGATTGCCTGAGCCCAGCAGGTCAAGGCTGGGTAGCCATGATCGTGCCACTGCACTCCATCCTGGGTGAAAGAGTAAGACTTCTGACTGAAAAAGAAAATAATTATTCCTTTGTTTTGCCTTTTTTTTGCATTATATTTTATGGGCTTTATAGGCTACAATAAGTAAAATGGAAAAGTAGGAATAAGTAAAACTCAGCTTCAGGAAAATGTATAATGTGAAGTTGACATGTTGAAGTAGGGAGATTATAAGACCTTAGACTCATCTAAGTTGATTATAAGTTTGTCTTTGGTCTTTACGATGCCCTGACTAAAATGCAGACACATCTGTCACATGATTGCAATGGAACTTGAGAACAGAGCATGCTAAATTCTCACGGGACATGATGACTTGGGATAACCATGCCTGAAACACCATCTTCATTGCTCACTTTAATGATGTAGTGGAAATTTTTTCACTGCTTATCTGGAAATAAACACTGTGTCATTCAGCCATGGAGATGGTTACCTAGTGCTGAAGCAAAACTCACATAAGAAAGTGTACCTGGAGTTACTAAAATAAGGTGGTCTCACTCAGCTTTTGGAAGAGTGTACTTGATTCACAGATAAAACGTAGAATTTCTGGAGGATTGAGGTGACCACATGTCCTCAAGTAACCCTTCATACATTCCTCTCAACTTGCTTATATGTATAGGTTGTGCCACAAAGTATTCAAAATTCTATTTTCTGGCAAATATTTCCAGTGCTCATTTGCATTTTAACCCACTTAACATACTCTTGGTTAATTGCTTCAAAAGCTCACCATTAACAAAGTTGTAATTAAATCTTATGACTACCCTCTAGTCTTTGCCTTAATTGAATCTTCTGCCATATTTTAAACTATTTTCCATAATCTCCAATATGGAAAAATCTCCTTTGTTTCTGTCACCGTCTGTCCAACAGTTTCATCTCTGTTTTCTCTGAATTCTTCTATCATCTGCTACCTAACATGGCTTATCCAGGTGCTCCATGGAGGACCTGTACTTTTCACTCTGCAGTGCTTCCTGACTGACCTGGCCCTTTGCGATTTGCATTCCTATTTCTCTGGCTTGTAGCTTTTGCCCAGGCTTTTGAGTGTAGGTTCACCTCTGTTGAACCACTGTATCTATATACAGTGCCAGTATAGGGGGAGAAGCCATTGGTGCTCACAAACAAATATGTAACTTTCCTACAGTGATGATGTCATTTTTGGCAAAACCTAAAGGGTTCTTATGCTCAGGGATGAATTTCAGTGTTTTCAGAGCTGTGGGTCTATTTAACACATGATATTCTCAGGAGTCCACAGGGAGAAAACATTTAAGAGTTAATGAGATGTTTGAACAAGAGTCAGTAAAAAGATATGCAAAGAATAAAAGCATAAGCACAGCTTTTTATAATTTGTACATATTTCTAATATATATATGCTCATGACTGTTGGTAGTGTTTTTAATAAACACTTGTGTGTACTTCAGATAGACCTGTCATGTTTCAAACTCTCGAAGACTGTACTAATTCTTTTCTTTCAGCTGCCCACATAATGAGTAGGGAAAAATGGGTGTCATGATTATGTTTATGGACTAGAACTGTAGATAGTACTGTAGTCAGTAAGCCAGGCATGGTGACTCACGCCTATAATTTCAATACTTTCGGAGGCCAAGGGGAAGATTGCTTGAGCCCTGGAGTTTGAGGCCACGGTGAGCCTTGTCATGCCATTGCGCTTCAGCCAGGATAACAAAGTGAGACCCTGACTCAAAAAAAAAAAAAGAAAAGAAAAAAAAAACGACAGTAATTAAAACATTATAAATATTACTGATCATTTTAAATTTGCAATTATGCTTCAAGATCTAGCATAGAATGTGAAGTGTGCTTTATTTCTAACATTCAGTCTAAGTGTGAACAGTCCGTGTTTTTCAAAATATGGTACTACCTGGGGTCTCTAAAGACTTCTAAGGCATTCTAATTATTTGCTTCAAAGCAAAGTACCACAGAACTTACTGGCTTAAAACAGGAATTTGTATTACATGTCACCATTTTGTCAGTCATTACACTGGACTGGGCAGTGTGATCTGCCACATGATGTCTCTTCTGTCAGGTAGAAGAACACTTATGTCTAGGGACATTGGACAGGCATTCTGCTCTCTCTTTGTGGCCAGCTTGAACTTCCATCCAATCTCGCAGTCTCAGGATGATGGTCAGATTTGTCCCGCTTCTTCCAGAGCAGGTGTCTAGGAGGCCCAGGCAGAAGCATGAGGCTTCTGTGGTATACCCTCAGAAGTCCCAGTGCATCTCTTCCACCATACTCTCTTAGTCAAGCTCATCATGAGTCCAGCCCTGATTCAAAGGGGGGCAGTTAGACCCCACCTCTCAATAAGAAAAATAGTAAGATCTGTAGCAATCTTTAATAAACCACAGTTTTCCCTCTAGTTACAAGTTATTCCGTTTCTACACATACAAAATATACTTTACCTCTTTGAAAAGCACCAGAATTCTTTTCCTGTGATGGTACTGACTGAAAGCCCAATGAAGTTAGGCCTTGGTAGGCTGTTGTGTGCCCCCTCCACACGTGCCCAGCATGCAGCAGACTGGAATGAACACGGTGGGCACTTCCCTTTAGACGGGGTTAGTAGGGGCACCCTGCAGGCACTGGTCTGAGCAGTTAATAATTCCTATCACTTGCTTCCACTGTTTGATTTAGACCCAGTCCTAGTGTCTGGGAGAGATGTTTCCTGCCTCTCCATTCTGCCCTTTGGGCTCCTGCCATTCTCTTAGTTGATATTCTTGTTCTTTAAAAAAAAAAAAAAAAAAAGTAGACCCTCCTGGGCAACTTGGCGAGACCTCATCTCTACAATAAAATCAAAAACCTAGCCGGTCATGGTAGCGCGCACCTGTAGTTCCAGCTGCTCAGAAGGCTGAGGCGGAAGGATCGCTGGAGCCCAGCAGGTCGAGGCTGTGGTGGCCGAGAGCAGCCACTGCACTCCAGTCTGGGTGACAGAGACTCCAACTCAAAAAAAAAAAAAAAAAGTGGCAAAGTTTTTCCACGTTTCTTGCTTATAGTAATTTGTATATCCAAAGACCTTTTTTTCATATTTTCTGACTTCAACCTTTGCATACAGGAAACGATTCAATGTAATCACTTCTTTAAAAAGTGTAGGCTTTCTTTGCCAATATCTATTAGACACAAACCACCCCACATACTTTCAGAGATAGGCCCTTTGATCTGTGGCCTCCCTTTCTCTCCAAGGCTGCTATGGGACAACCCTAAAAGGTTTATTGTTTAGGACTACACTAAGGCCCTAAAAAGTAGAAAATCTTTTTGTTATTTTATGTTGTTCACAAAAATACTTGCTGGTTTTGATCTTTGTAGTGATGTCATTTATTGCTCTTAAAAGCTTGTGCTGGGAACAACTGGGGATAAGAAACAGTTTTATTTCAAACCCAACAAATTATAGCTTCTTTCAGTTTTCTCTAAATTCTGTTTGAAAAGTGAACATTTTCCTTTAATTCATCTTACTCCTTTTGTGTTTTCTGGAAGGCAGAGAGACAGGCCAGGTAGCACTTTCTACATTCTTAGAATTCTCCTTAAATGTCCCTGAGATGGTGATTGTAGTGTTATGGTATCTATTTATATATTGGTTTTTTTTCATGGTTCCTGACTCATAACTTCCACAACCCTTGCTGCAGTCTTTGGTTACAGTATTGGGGCACTGCAGGTCTCAGAAACAATGTTTCCCACCTTCTGTCCTCCTTTCACCTGTGCCAAGTTAGGACTCTGACCTTTCCCTTCCTTTTGATTGTGGTCTTAAGACTTTCCCCAGAGAGAATCTCTCCCTATGCATTGGGGAAAGGAATGTTGACATCATGAAACTTCCATAGAAACCCAGGAGAACTGGGCTTAGGGAGGTTCCTGAGAGCCAAACCTGGGAGGCTCCTGCCCTTCCCCATACCTGCCTTACATATCTCTTCATCTGCATCCTTTGTGATGTCCTTTATAATAAACTGGTAAACGGGTTACCCTGCCTTCTGTGAACTGTTCCAGTAAACTATTTGAACCTAAAGAGGGGGATCATGGGAACCCCAACTTGAAGCTGGTCTGTCAAGTTCTGGAGGCCTAGGCATGCAACTGGTAGTGGGGGGGCAGTCTTGGGGATGAGCCCTCACACTGTGGAGTCTGACAGTATCTCCAGGTAAATGGTGTTAGACTCGAACTGGAGAATGCCCAGCTGGTGTCTAATTGGTGGTGGGCAAATCCCCCATAGCTTGGTCATAGAAGCCTTCTTCTGTGTTGGTTTTTGTGGTGTGAGAGCAGAGGGAAAACACTGCTGGGTAGTTTTTTCTAAATCAGTGAACTACCCTTTCAGTTTTCCATGTTCTAGGCAGCAGCATGGGCAGGAGTGTTGCCAACAGTTCTCCAGTTTCCAGTGAAATATTTCTCACTATCCTTTATGTCCTCAGCAAGAATCTTGATGCCCTCTAACTTGTATGAACAGCAGATATGTAAACTAACGTGATTGAGCATGCAGTTGAAAGTTCACAACTTGAAGTTTTGTATGTAGGGGACTTACTATAAATCAGAGTTAAGTCTTGAGACTTATTTTATGGCCCTACATATGGTCTGTTTTGGTGAGTGCTCCACATTGTACTTCATAAATGTCACTTAGATCAAGATTTTATCATTTAGTCTGGTGTCCCATCAGTTACTTTTTGAGGAAACTTTAGGGCTTTCTACATATAAGATCATGTCTTTGAACAGAGGTAATTTTACAT